TCCTCTGTCCTTCTTTCGAATCCAAATGATTCTTTTTACGCATTTATTATGCTTGCAAGCGATCACTTCCTTGCCTTTTTAAACACCTTAGTATTGTCTACTGGGAACACATGTACGCAAGACAAGGGTTAATTAATAAACAGAATGGACCTTTTGGAAGCGAACTACTATGCAACGGTATTGATAAGATATTGAGCTAAATTTTCGAGGGCTTCGAAAGTAAATGATTTGTATGATTTATACCATCACGCACCGTCAAATGTTACGCGTCCATCGCCATCTCTATCAGCCTCCGAAAGAATATCAGCAGCCTCGTACTCTAAAATCGAGGCAAATGCAGTTTAGCATGCTATTTATGCTTTTTATGAACAAAATCAAAAGTGCTAAAGCCAATGATTCGCAACGGAACTGGGTCGTATCTTTTAACTTAATGAATTTTAAAAAGCAAAAATTTTCACTCGCACGAAGGCCCCTGTAAGTCGACTGGAAAAATGCTTTTTACATAACATTTGTTTGAAACCCAACCATGTAAATTACCAGACTTCAAAAAAAAATTTAGACTTACACCAAGGATAAAGATCTCTAATCTTTATCTTTTACAAAACTACAGTGTTGGCCACAGTAATCGTAAATTGATCACATTCCGAACCATTGTATAAGAAGCAGCGCACTTTTTAATACAATTCTAACAACTACGGTGATAAAGTAAGGAATCTAATGATTTGGTGAACCAAATCCTTTTGAGTAAAGGCCTTCTGATATCGATCTCAACTATCGATTTTTCACCACGTTCTTAGAGCGGCTGTTCACGGTGTGGTGATCTACCTTACACAAAGTTCTGAATTCTGCCACAATTTAAACAAAATTTTTGTTTAACGAAAAACTTTAAGGAAATAGCCGAATTTCCCTCGAACATTTGTGCGAGTATTTTTATTGCTTAGTGCTTGATCGTGCAGTGGCAAGTGAATGAATTTAGGGCATAATTAACCTACCAGAAACTGTAACTCCCATCTGAGTAAGGACGGCTTGCAGCTCCTTGGGTGTTATGTATCCATCATCATCCTACGCAGAAGAAAAATTAATCAGGACCAAAGAAGTGGGAAACTACTCGAGTTTAATCTAAAAATAACGCATGGATGTGTTGCAGCGGAACAAATTTGATTTGCAGCAAATCAATGCCCCTGTATCCCGGCCAGATGAATTACAAATAAAATTTTTATTCATCTTGTCTCATGCGCAAAATCAATCAATGATACAAATGACAATAATGCGTAATTCAGGATTTAGACTAGTGAATTAAAATGACAGTGTCAGGAAGCACTGTTCATAAGTACCTCAAATTATTTTTGTCCCAATTACTTCCAATGGGATTTCGTGCCACATTTCATGCTTGAGTGATCACCGACTGTCAACCAAACCACTGAGCACATTTCAATTCCACAAGTGAAATATGCACCTAATTTGCCTGTTTACTGGTCTGGACAACGATAATGAGAGTCGAAGGTGAAAGAGACGCCCATACGTAAGATATAGCAAGGTCGTGATTTGGGTACACAGTAATTGCTTTTAATAAGATTTAATTTGCAAACTGACTTTTATGGCCCTGTTAAGTAGACTGCGTGGGAACCCTGTAAATTCTTACAAGTAAAAGCATTCATTTATTTTGACATTGAATAAATCTGGTGATTCCATTGGTGGGCCGACATTGATTGCCAGTCAACCGAAGAAACTAAGCAAGTTGAAACCGTTTTTGCTCAAATGCGTTTATGTTAAAGCGTTTTAGAACAGTCGTAATCTACAGGCTATTGCAGAAATGTGTTGAGTGCTAGTCACAATGCTTTGCGTAAAAGCTAGTGTGATCAAAATTCAGGCTTTTGGTGATCTGGCAGATGCAAAGCATCGTTTTCTCATCACGCTTTACATGTTCGCCGCACATCGTCATGCAGTAGGCCTCACACGTCAAAAAGTGTCGCAAATAAATAGCTTGCAATTAAACCCCATAGGTCACTGCTGAATTAGAATGGGAGGCTAAAAAGTATACCTTGTCAAAGATTCGGAAGGTTTCATACAAAGTGCCAACGTCTGGAGTTGAGGTGAGCTCCTTCGCTCCAAAGCACTCAACGAACTCGTCGAAAGCTATCTGGCCGTCGCCTTGAAAACGCATAAAAAACATAAAGCACTACACATCAAAATTATATGTAGGTTTTGTTTATTATTCTTTGTTTTTTTCACAACAAGTCCCATCTCGTTTAAAAACGATCGTGAAACTGATTTTAGAACTTGCTTATCTTTTTCGCCTTTATTGTTGGTAGCGCAGTGCTAGCCTTCATAGTAAATTAGCTGAATATATGATAAATCAAGGTAGACATTAATTCCGTGTCTATCGGCTACTTTGAGCAGTGTAAATAAACACCACCCGGCTTTACTCGCTCTCATCCCTCTTGAATTAACCAGGTAAACGCTTCGGAATCCAAAGGAAAATTGGCCCACTTATGACTATCTCTCTCATCTAATAAAAATCTCAGTTATGAGAAAAAGTGCATTGCATTATCTTACATTTAAACTACAGATTTTATCCATCCATTCGGCACATTATGCATTTACTGTTGTTTTTTTCGTTTATTCACAAAATAGCTATGAACCAGGCAATGCTTGAAGCTTTAACTACTAAACATAAATGGGAAAAAATTGTTTCACTAGTTTGAAATTTAGGAGACGTTAACCATGAAGCATTGAATGAAACTTGGAAATAGTCTTTGGGGTTTCATTTGCATCTATTAAACTAAAATCCCTCAAGGAGCATAGTGGACGTGAGTTTATCGAAAAAAATAAATGAAATTACATTTGTGAAGTGGGAAGAAGCTCACCATTTATATCCGCGTGACTCATAAGAAGTTTGAGCTGCACGGAAGAGGTTTCCAGACTCACTACGCTCAAGATTTTGCTAAACTCTTCCTTGCTTATCGTCCCATTTCCGTCTGTGTCGAAGCAGTCAAAGATCTCTCGTAGTTCTAAACGCGGTGGAAAAAAAACCAGAAAATTATTCTTTAGAAATTTCAGCACACATTGCAGAAAGATTGTAGGCTCTAAAAGCAAATCGATCTTGGACTGAAAATCTTACAAACCGCATTTCGAATTTTATGAATGCATCCGCGTAAATCATGCATAATTATTAATGCAGTGTACGGGCTTCTGGCAGACCTATCCCATCACTAAAGAACTGTTGTGAAGTTTTATCGAATGAGCCTGAGCAAAGCTAATTCTGTTCAAAGAGTCCCTGCTTCAATAAACTTAATTGGACTTCACGTGGCATCACCCGACTCTGACAGGCACCAACAACTTGTAGGAGTTATCCGAATTGGTCAAAGTGGTCCAGGAGCCCTACTTACCAAGTCATGCACCGTATCGTGCCAAAAAATCAGCCAACAATCGCCAAGGCCAGACTACTTACACCTTATAAACTCGGGGCAGCCATAACAGCTTGAGCACATGTGCCGTCTTGGCATATTCCGCCCCTCCACTAGCCTATGGGCGTCTCCTTTAAGCATGGTACCCAAGAAATCCGGGGACTGGAGACCCTGTGGTGATTACAGAGCCCTAAATAATGTCACAGTTCCCGACCGGTACTCCATCTCTCATAATCACGACATTTCATTGGGTTTAAAAGGTGCTAAAGTCTTTTCGTGACTTGATCTTGTATGGCCCTATCATCAGATTCCTGTGGCCCCTGAGGATGTCCCTAAAACTGCCGTTATTACTCTATTTGGCCTATTCGAATGCCCACGAATGCCTTTTGGTTTGCGCAACGCAGCACAGACCTTTTAGAGACTCGTGATCGTTATTTTGTATTTTCTGTGTTGATGATACTCTTATAGCCAGCAAAGACAATGGCAAACATTTACTTCACGTACGCCAAGTTTTCATTCATCTTAACGTTTATGACATCACCGTTAACCTCAAAAATGTATTTTAGGAGTAGACAGTGTTGACTTCCTTGGACAGCAAATTGATTCGGATTGTATCAAATCCCTGACTTCGAAAACAACAGCGATTCAGTGTACCCACTGCCAGAATCACCTCGTTTCTATTGGTTTAGTCAACTACCATGTGAGGTTCATTTCAAATGCTGCTAAAATTCTGTCTCCACTGACTGACTTGCTTCCAAGGGATCCTAAGAAACTAGCGCTTACTCATGAGGCTGAAGTTACTTTTCAAGTTATTAAGAACGCTGCAGCCGACTTCGCAAATTTATGTCACTGAATTATGGAGGCATAACTTGTCTTTAGAACAGATACTTCTCAAATTGCTGTCGGTGCAGTCCTACAACATCTGCTGGACGAGCGTGCTAAGCCGTTATCCTTCAACCGGCTCAGACCTGATACAGCACATTTTCCAGAGAACTATTGGCGATCGATCGTGCGGTGAAGCAGTTCCGTCGTCTACTGGAAGGGGGTGAGTTCACAATATTTGCCGATCATAAATCACTGATTTAAGCCTTTCATTCAACCCCTAATCGATATTCCCCACGCGAATCCAGATACCTTGACTATGTTTCACAGTTCAAAACCAATATTCGCCACGTTGATGGGACTGATAGCATTGTCCCGAGCATATATTCATAACCGTTCAGTTGCCGGCATCGACCTTGAACAGTTAGCTGCGGCGCAGACAAGTGACCCTGAATTACATCTGTTTCGTTAAAATTCTGATCAAAATTGGAAAGAAATGCAACTTTCTTACTGTTCTTCAAAATTACCTGCAATGTCACTTGGCAGGCCTTGGCCTTTTGATCTTGCCAAATTTAGAAAGCAACCATTTGAATACCTTCATTCCCTTTCACATCCCGGTGTTCGCGATAGACCGTTTTATTTGTCCTAGCATTCGCAATTTAGACGTTCATGGGCTAAACTCGGCATTCAATATCAATGCAGCAAGGTCGACTGACAAAATATTTTGCCACATGGACATTTTCCCCTTTGAGATGAGCGCTTACGGCGTATAAATACAAATGCATTTGGACGTTTTTCATCGTCTCGTGGTTTTACCCATGTCCCAACATGTGTGGACCGTTTTATTCGGTGGTTTATTGCAATACCCATTCAAAACGGTGCCGTCGCAGTTCCAGTTCTATAACATCTGATTGCAGGAGCGCCATTCCAATTTTGTCCATTTCAGGACCTAAATCGCCCTCCTGGATGCAAACATTTCCGAACTACAGCGCATCATCCAGCATCCAATGGCTTGGTTGAGCGTTTCCATCGTCAATTGAAATCAAACATTATTGCAAAATCCGCCTCTACTAACTGGTCTGATTTATTACCCTTGAATTTGCTGACCATCTCCAACACAGTGAAGGAAGATATTGACACCAAGCTAGTAGAACTTGTATTTGGTACAACCTTGCGTCTGCCCGGCGAAAAGGTCGCTATTCCCGACAGCAATGCTGATATTCCGTCTTTAGCATACGTTGACTAGTTGAAGTGCTCTATCAAGAGTTTTTGCCCAGCAATAACTTATTCAGCCAACATTGTTTACTTCCCCCTATGTTTTTGCCCACATCGACAGTGTCATAAAACCCTTGCAACAACTCTACAATGGCTTCTTTACAGTGTTAAAACGCACAGACAAATATTTTACAATTAAAAAATGGATTTCTTGAAACAGTAAGTGTAGACCGACTTAAAGCAGCTTGCACTGATAAGAACAATGTTCTTTCATCACACCCTAACAACGACGAACTTCCCCTGCACTCTCCTGTCCTAGCCTCAATTTTGGCCAAACCTTGAGATCACCAGTTCGCTTAGCTGACCAAGTTCAGTAATTATCTCACGGTGTACACTCTCGGGGGGGGGGGGGGGGGGGGAATATTTGCAGTGAACTTTCATCAAACGAGTGTGCGTGATGCCTATTCACGAGTTGATCGATTGTCAATCATAGTAGGCGTGGTTGTGCGCACTCTCCCATACGAGACTGGGTGGTCCAATTTAAATATACCGTTATATCCACTATCACCTGTCTTTACCCTCTTCAAGGGTTGTTACGGACTGGTAACTAGCAGGGCTGTAAGGTAGTGCTAAGGAAGCCGCTACAGAACCAATAATCATTGTACAGCACAACAGGAAGCTATAAAAATTGGCAGGACGTAATGCTACCACACTCATTGTTGTGACTACTACCCTTCAATGAAGGCCTGAATGAAAGGGAAAACATCGCTAGTTTTAAACACTAAAACAGCACTGCCGCCAGGTCGTGTAAAAGGTTAACTATGTTTGCATCAAAAAAAATAACAGAAGCTTATTTTCGAAAAGGTTCTATAGGCAAATTAAGAAAATGGCACCAGAACTTATAGCATTGTTATGAGGCAAAATTAAAATGAGTTCTCCAGGTGTGCAACGCCAGGTTCGCTAAGCTAACTGCTTTCTTTGCAGTCTCATCACTCATACGCAGGCACACACACATGCTTTCCTCCATTTGCATCCACACTTCGACTGCTTCCGACCACTGACCCTTCACAATCCACTGTCTTTTGCGTGAATGACTTGCGCATGTGTGATAAGCAGCGTGTCACCATTTTTTTTTACCTTTAATCTTTTTAACTCCCCGAACATTTGGTTAGCGTGCCTCTCCTCAATTTTGAAGCCAACCCTAGCCTGTTGATTCAAACATGCTTAATTACTCTGATGCTTGATTATGACTGGTTACTACTGTGTCGAATCAGTGAAGACTATTGGCGCACGCAACCTGTTTGGTTGGAAGGGCGTTGTGACCCCTGTGCGTGCTCTAAATCGATTCCTCAGAGCAGTACTTTGCGAAACAGTTTTGAACTCCCTCTTGGGATTTCACATTTCTGCTCTGCACGACACAGCCTCAACCACAATTGGTGCAGTATTGATGCCATGTTTGAACACCTCAATAGTGCATGGTGCAGACACGAACCTGAATTTCAACTGAAATGGCTTTAAAAGCAAGTTTACTTGGCGAACTGGACGCACTGCTTCTTAGCTTGAGACTGAGGGAAATCGTTGTGTTGAAACGTATGAGTCTTTCTTCACTAGATTTGCACACACTGCCCTTACAGTTACCATCATACTCTATCCGCGAGCCACTCATTCCTTTGCCATCATGTTCCCCTTTCTTTGCAATGTCAACTATTCAGCCTCTGTCCTCTGTCCTTCTTTCGAATCCAAATGATTCTTTTTACGCATTTATTATGCTTGCAAGCGATCACTTCCTTGCCTTTTTTAAACACCTTAGTATTGTCTACTGGGAACAAATATAAGCTAGTTCCAAGCTGATGGTATGTAAAATGATTGTGTCTTGTGCTTGTGTTTCCGCTGGGTCACCGACATTTATTTTCTCTTGTAGGATGAACTGCGTAACCTCGTTAGAGACCAATGCATTTTAAAAAATCATGCCACGAACGTTACCGAAATTTGCCTCCTTGCGCCCAAATATTTCCAACTATCACACATCCATGACCGCACCCTTCTCCAATCTAACCAATCAGCTATTTGTGTTAGGGCCTTGGTTACTGCTCAATAAACCAGTTAAATATTTGTGAACTAAAACAAGCCGTCTGAACGAAACTTAATTTTCAAATTTAACTAACCTTTCAGCTGCGAAGAAGTCAAATTGTGGGCTGCCTAAAATATTGAAAGGAAGTATTTTTAAAAAGCAATGCTTGTGAATATGCATCCCATTCTGACTATTCTCTTTTGAATTAAATAATTTTCACATAATTTTGAAAAATGCACGCCCTGAAACCGGATTTTGCAGCTCCACATTTTTTTAAACATTGTCGACACAAAACGCACACTGCGGTATTTTGCAATTTATACCTGAGTTGTTAGGGTATTCATTTTTATATAAATTCGTTTCATCCAGTAATCTCAAGGAATAAGAAAATCTGGTTGTTAATTTTTAAAAATTTACCTAGACATGGTCTTCCAAATAATATTTCTTTAAATTATAATTATTCATACTGATAGTTTCCAACGTTAAAAGGTTTCGTTCCCCGGGGTCATTTTAAAAAAATCTAGTTTCGT